TTGAGAACATCCCATTTTGTTGAGGCTGTCCCTAGCGAAATGCAACTTTTCTGCCGTGCTCTTCGTTCTGGTCCGCTGTGCTGCCGCTCGTTCTCTGAGGATGCCCCTAGCGAAATCGCAACTCTTAACATAAGAGTTAGTTAAAGACTTCAGTCGTCATCTCATTGTTTCGAGGATGTCCCGAGCGAAACGCAAAGTGTCACAGACGGCGAAATTTCGCTGTCATCAACTGTTCGAGGATGTCTCGAGCGAAACGCTTGTTTTTGTTAGAACCCAAGAAGAGACAATGAACACGGCAGAATATGCCCCAAGTGCGAAGGAGCACGGCAGAAAAAAAGCAGGAGCACGGCAGACAAAGACCAGGAGCACAGCAGAATAGGCCCCATGAGCGAAGGAGCACGTCAGAAACAAATCAGGAGCATGGCAGAATAGAGTCCAAGAGCTGCCGAGCACGGCAGAAAAATACCAGGAGCACTGCAGAATAGAGCCCAAGAGCTAAGGAGCACGGCATAATAGGCCCCAAGAGCGAAAAAGACGCCAGAAAAAAGACCAGGAGGACGGCAGAAGATACCCCAAGAGCTAAGGACGACGGCAGAAAAGACCGAAACACAGCAGAAAAGGCCCGAGGAGCCAAGGAGTACGACAGAAAAGACCAGGAGCACGGCAGAATAGGCCCGAAGAGCGAAGGAGCAAACCAGAAAAAGACGAGGAGCACGGCAGAATAGAACCCAAGAGACAAGGAACACGGCAGAAGATGCCCCAAGTGCGAAGAAGCACAGCAGAAAATGACCAGGAGCACGGCAGAATAGACCCCCAGAGCTCAGGGGCACGGCAGAAAAAGACCAGGACCACGGCAGAATAGACCCCAGAGCTAAGGAGCACGGCAGAAAAAGACCAGGAGCATGGCAGAATAGGCCCCATGAGCGAAGGAGCACGGCAGAAAAACAACAAAGAGCACGGCAGAATAGACCACAAGAGCTGAGGAGCACGGCAGAAGAGGCCCCAAGAGCGAAGGAGCATGACAGAAAAAAAACAGGAGCACGGCAGAATAGACCCCAAGAGCTGAGGAGCACGGCAGAATAGGCGCCAGGAAAGAAGGAGCATGGCAAAACACGACCAGTGACCACAACCCTCGTCAAAATTAACCTCAAAATGGCGGGCACGCCCCTTCGATGTCGGCGCGCCCCTTCAATGTCGATACGACGCCCCTTCAATGTCGGGGCCAGGGCAGATGTGGTGTGACCGGGAGCGACTCGAAAATTCAAAGATGACCGACATTGGAGGGGCGGCGCATACAAGTACATCGCACTCATCGGCACTCGGTCCGATATCTCCCACAATCAGTTCAGCTACGTGAGGCATTTTTGAGGTTATTTTTGACGAGGGTTGCAGGAGCACGGCAGAATAGACCGCGAGAGCTAAGGAGCACGGCAAGACAGATGCAAGAATACAGCATAATACGCCCCACGGAAGAAGGAGTATGCAAGAAAAACACAAGGAGCACGGCTGAATAAACCCCGAAAGCGAAGGAGCACGGCAGAATATGCCCCAAGAGCTAAGGAGCACGGCAGAAAACGACCAGGAGCACGGCATCATAAGCCCCAAGAACAAAGGATTGTGACAGAAACTGGCCAGGAGCATGGCAGAATAGGCTAGAAGAGCGAAGGAGCACGGCACAACAAAAACAAGGAGCATTTCAGAATAGACCCCAAGAACGAAAGAGCACGGCAGAATAGACGTGAAGAACGAATGAGCACTTTTTTCGCCGGCCATACCCCGCCCGATTTTTTTAGGATGTATGCAACGAGAGCGCGATTTTAAACATGAGAGGTATTGAAACCGCCACTCCAAGATATCATTTTTGTTAGGATGTCTCAGGCGAGACGCTCGTTTTTGAACATCTGTCGAATTCGCGGGTTCCCATGTTTAAGGGATGTCTCAGGCGAAACGCTCATTTTTGATGAAATCGATGTTGTGAACATTTCATTGTTGTAAGGATGTCTCAGACGAAATCGCCATTTTGGATCGTCTCGAGGGCGCTCCTGGGGGTCAAATTTGGGCTTGTTTGGGCCTTTGGGGGCCTTCTTGATGCCTTACGAAACCGTTACAGTCCGATGTTACACACATTCGTTTTTTCAGGATGTCCCTAGCGAAATCGTCATTTTTAGATGACTGGCTTAAACCATCCAGAAGCCTTTTCAGGAGCGATCCCCAGACGATGTTAAAACGGCAGTTTTCAAAACGATGTTGTTCGATTTGTTATGTTTTTGAAGATGTCCCTAGCGAAATCACTATTTTCAGCAACCTTAAGGGCGCTCTTGGGGCCATGTTGTGGCCTTCTTTTGCTTCCTGATGCCCTCCTAAAATCATTACGATGCGATGTCGCACGCATCAATTTTTTGAGGATGTCCCTACCGAAATCGACATTTTTAGAAGGTTGCCTTGGGCCGTCTGGAAGCCTTTTCAGAAGCAAAGTCAAAACTATGTAAGAACAACAGTTTTCAAGTCGATGCTGGTGTATGTTTTTCACTTTTTGAGGATGTCCCTAGCGAAATCGCTATTTTCGGAAGTCCCCCGATCGTTCTGACAGCCATCTTGACGTGCTTTTTGGCCTCTCATTTCGTCATCTTGAGGTGCTTCGAGAACGATATCAAGACGACGTTGAGGACATCTCATTTTGTTGAAGATGTCCCTAGCGAAATGCACATTTTCTGCCGTGCTCTTCGTTCTGGTCCGCCGTGCTGCCGCTCGTTTTCTGAGGATGTCCCTAGCGAAATCGCAATTATTAACATAAGAGTTAGTTAAATACTTCAGTCGTCATCTCATTTGTTCGAGGATGTCCCCAGCGAAACGCAAAGTTTCACAGACGGCGAAATTTCGCTGTCATCAACTGTTCGAGGATGTCTCGAGCGAAACGCTTGTTGTTGTTAAACGCGATGTCGCGAAGATCTCATTTTTGTGAGGATGTCTCACGCGAAATCGCCATCCCGAGGAATCCGCTAAGCCTCTTCCCCGTGCAACCCGCCACCCCCTATAGTTAAGAGATCTCTTACTGATATGAGGAAGATTCAGCCAAAACGTCCAGCTCGCTTCTCGTTCCTCGAAGACGCTTCCCGTCATCCGCTAAGCCTGGTACACCGTGCACCCCGCCACCCCCTATAGTTAAGAGATCTCTTACTGATATGAAGAAGATTCAGCCAAAACGTCCAGCTCGCTTCTCGTTCCTCGAAGACGCTTCCCGTCATCCGCCGACCCCTTGTGGTCACGGCGTGTGAGATGCTTCCCCCTCCCCAAATCATGCCAAATCCCTCCCCTGGGAGCCCGTTCCGGCCGGTTTGGTAGAGGGGGGGGGCGGGGGGCAAAAGCGTCAACCGCGCCCGTGGAGCTTCAGGGGGCCCAAGACAAGCCAAGAGAGTCCCAGAAGGCCCTCCGGACTGTCCCAGAGGGCTGCGAGTCGCCGAGAGGTCGCTCCCAGACGCCCACGATTGCCTCCAGACGGCCCCAGAGGCCCCTAAGACGCCTCAAGGTGCCATCACATCAAGAGGCGTCCCAAGAGGTCCTGAAGAAGCAGAAATCGTCCCATTCCCTAGGGAAACATACATTTTGTAGCACATTCGCCTCTTAGGCGATCACGAGGCCCACAACGGCCCAAGAAGCGTTCGAAGATCGACCCCAGACAGACCAACAGGCCCCCAGGAGGGCTCCAAGACGGCCGAAGAGGGCCCCAAGAGGGCCCCAGAAACCACCACAACGGCCAAGACGAGCCCCAGGACGGCGCCAAGAGGGCACCAAAATGGGCCAACAGGGTCCCAAAAGGCCTCCTGGACGGTCCAAGAGGGCTACGAGTCGTCGAGACATCGTTCCAAGATGCTCAAAATTGCCTCCAGACGGCCCCAGAGGCCCCCTAGACGCCCCAAGAAGCCACCAGGAGGCGTCCCAAGAGGCCCTCAAGAAGCAAAAAACGTGCCCTTCCTTATGGGAGACATATATGTTCAGCACTTTCAGCAGCCCACGAAGCCTTCAAGATCGACCCAAGAGGGCTCCAAGACGGCCCAAGAGGCCGCCAAGAGGGCCCTAGAAGCCACCAAAACGGGCTAGGAGGGTCCCAGGACGGCCCCAAAATGGGCGAAGAGGGTCCCAAGAGGCCCCCGACGGTTCAAGAGGGCTACGAAACACACCCAAGATTGCCTCCAGACGGCCCTTAGACGCCCCAAGACAAGAAGCCACCAGGAGGCGTCCCAAGAGGCCCTCAATAAGTAAACATAGTCCCATTCCCTAGGGAAACTTATATTTTTAGTACATTCGCCTCTTGGCCGTTCACGAGACCCACAACACCCCAAGAAGCCTTCAAGATCGACCCAAGATAGCCCCAGAGGCCCCCAAGAGGGCTCCAGGACTGCCTAAGAGGGCCCCAGGACGGCCCCAAGAGACCGCCGAGCTTCCGCCGGCGGAGGCGGCCTCGCTTTATTTCCGCCGACCTTCCGCCGCGGAAAAGATGACAATTCCTTCGATTATCCTGCTTTTGTTTCTTGTTGTTTTGTTTTCTGTTGTGCGTGTGTGTTTGTTTGTGTGTGTGTGTGTGTGTGTTTCCCACGTGTTGTGTGTGTGTGTGTGTGTGTGTGTGTGTGTGTGTGTGTGTGTGTGTGTTTGTGTTGTGTTTTTTTGTGTGTTTTGTTTTTTTTTCTCCCCAAATAGGCAACGAAGGGTTTTTCTGGCCACGGCGAGCCCTGGCCACGCAGAAGCTCCAACCCTGACGCTGAGGGAGCGGCCGGAGAACCGGGGCCCCTCCGGGGCCCTGGGTGGTCCTTACTCCAGTCTCTCGACTGTACTAAAGGGGCCCCAGGACACACAAACAAATACACACAAATAACATGATTCCCAATATTTTCCCATATTTTGGGGGTTTCTGTCTTCCCCCCCACTTCCCCCATATTTTCCCATATTTTCCTGGGAGTCGACGATTGATTGTGTCTGTGTGTTTCTTTCCCTCCTGATGTACT